CAGATACGAAGGAGACATCACAGCGATAACGCTCCGCTACTCCTGACGCAGTTATCTGGCTTGACCACCTAGATGTGAAATTGTAGTTGCTGCTCTGCATCCACATCAGCCGTACGAAAGAAGAAGTACCATTCCATTGCTAGTCTTGTCCTCTGGCCATAATCATCATCTCCATCTCGTGATGTGTCCTGCCCCCGAGTGCCCTGATTTTCACCAACAATACGATACCTGATTTGGGTAATGTTTACCCGATCCGCGGGTTCATCATTCTGTCTCTCAGCGTTCGTATTCAACTGTTGTTGGGTTAGAGATCTCGTAAATGTAAATGCGTTGTAAAACCACCTCCAGCCGACGACACAGCCAATGATTAAGGTTTGTCACGTGAACAAAACGTGCCGATAAGTTACTACTTCAGCACCCCGACCACTGTTATTGAAGAGCAAACCCACAAGAGCAACATTTGAGTTAACGACGATTCGCTGGTAATTACAACAACCAGCATCATCAGGCGATTGTCAGAATTGTGAAGTCTCTCAGTAGTGTGACATAAAGCAAGCAGAACCCCTCCCTTGCTTTGCCTTTTCGTATGCTTTTACAGCATTTGTCTCGCTTTGTTCGTCAAGAAGAACACCCATTCATCCGCAAGCTGAGAAAAAGTCTGCTTTGGCAGGCCACGTCGCTACACGTCGAGACTAACGAGGGAGTGACTGGCAAAGGAGGGAACACGCCCCGAGGAAGATGTTTCGGGCTCAGAATCTTTATTTGAACTGGAGGAGGAATCTATAAAGCTCTTTTTTTCACAGATGTCCAGTAGGGGCACGGGGTCAGAACGTTGCAACAGTACAAAAGCACGGCAGGAGTGCAAAGTATAGGAAAGGTAAGCAAATCACAAAAATAACTATTTAATGCTATGTGAACCCCACTGAGCTATTAGCTTAATTTTCAGAAGGGACCTGGCCACAACTTATAGCTCAGCAAAGTGGCTTAAAGGTCGCTTCTGAAAAAGAGCTATATCGCTCAGTGGGCCTTACCTGGTAAAATAAAAATAGATTTTAGTTTAACTGCGCTCACTGGTTGCACCATAGTGACCGTTTACGCTCATTTCGATATTAGGAAGCCACTGAAGCTTTGTACTTTTAAATCAAGATTGACAACTCATTTCTCACGAACTGCTTTTTGTATTCCGGTGTCCTTACCCCCGCACCTCCGATTGGCACGGTTGGCTACGTGCGGTGCGAAAGAAGTTCAACAAACATACATTTCACTACCACATGCTGTATTTACACATGAAAGCACTGTTTATGCATTCTGTACATTCCAAGATACGATGCGATTGCCTGGGAGAGCTCACAGGCAGCCACTGGGCACCGTGAGTGTGAAGTACACGTACGGCCGTTTTTTTTTATCCACTGCTGGATGAGGGCCTCCCCGCACCGTGCCGGTCATGCGGGATTTGTTTGACCATACTTCACCATTCTGGTCAGTAGGAGTCGGTGACGTGGGAAACCCCAAGGCTCTGTTCAGATATTACCCAGCACTGGTTTTTGGCCGTGCCCAGGAATCGAACCTCCGGATGCTGGGTCCGTAAGCACAGCGCGCGAACCACTGCACCGTCACTCCGTCCCAAAAAAGTTTGTCGTACTAACTTTGTCAAAATTACATTACACCGCACTGCATATGATCAACAAATAATGTCTCCTTTACATATTTGTCTTTTTTACTTTGTGGGAGTGCATCTTATCAGCGTTTGACCTTTGGTCAGTGCCGATTGGTCAAGGTGGCTAGCAGAGACGCGGCAGCAGCATTGAAGCACAGCACAACGATCATTGCAAAGACAAAGATCCCACCCCCCCCCCCCCCCCCCCCCCATAGCCTTGACAGACTCTTGGGCTCGTGCTGTTAGCGAGTCGCATCTATGAAGGCCGGCACGGCACACGAAGGGGGTGGGTGGCCAACACCACGCCCGGCCGCCTTTGTCTCCCCAGTGGCGATGTTTACACATCATTACCAGGCACTGATTTGAGACTGAGTCGACCTTAGGGGAGGCCCACAACAAATTCCGATAATCGTCACTGGTGTTGGCCGTAAGCGGGTATCGAAATTGGGTCGCCGGGTTCGGAGCGTAGCGTTGCTAACCGTAGCACAACCGTTCCCCGGTTATTGCTCCACTGCCCCCACAGCCACCTTATGACAACATGTTAGGGGCCATCTATTTAGTACGTACGCAAAAATCTGTCAAAACTTGATCCCTCCTCCCCTCCCTGTACGCACTGCGTTCTTTTTACCCCCCCCGCCTGCGTACGTACGCCTGACGCACCCCCCCCCCCGCCCCCCAATATTTCATCCATGCAGAAACGATCAAGGATTCATAATATTAACGTGTTTAAGCAAACAGATAGTCCACCGCCGGACTATCTAACTCATTTGAAGGCCAATGTAGACAAATTATTATCGAGGCTTCACCCCCCCCCCCCGTTTCCTATGCGTACGTACTAAATGGATGGCCCCTTAGTGCACACACCACTCACCCATCCCAAGCACTATCCAGGCTCGGCCCTGCTTAGCTTCCGAGATCTGATGACGCGGGGTGCGCCTTCCAGCTGGTTTGGTCGTAGGCACGGGGTGAGTGTGGGTCGTTCATGCAGGGTGTTCCCATGGTTATCATCCATTTTTAATTGAATGTAATTTCGATGGATCTTTGAGCTCGGGTTGACACGACCATGTCGAATGAAGATATTTTATCGCACTAGTGCCATTGGTGTGACGGGCACGTCCGCGGATTCTCTCGGGCCGTCGTTAGCTGGGCTGCCAGTCACAGATCTCATCAGAATGGGGTGGGGTTTTGGTCCCCCCCGCCACCCCCACCCCCCCATTTTGTGTCCGCACACAACACGACAGAGAAATCTCTGTGCATGATTGAAATGATGGTGCAGTTTATTCCTGGTTAGGCCTGTAGAGTCTCGGCGGCTTCCCTGTCACCATGTAAACCTGTACGTGCGTGTGGTACGTACGTAAGCTGCCACTTCCCGACATTGGGACACTTTGGATTACGCTTCGCAAAAAATTGCCGTAAAAAACAAAAATATCGGCATCTTCCGTCGCCGCGCGCGTTCCCCATTGTAAAGCCAGCGACGCAACCGGTGGATCAAACGTTGAACTCCTCCTCCTCGGATTATCTTCATCCTCGCCGACTCACCGCGGTGAATCGGCGCGTGTGATGTAACCGTCGCGCGTAGAGCGTGCCCAATCCCCGTACAGTGCACCGAAAAAACCACCACCGTGCAAGTCGGTCGTCGGCTTTTGTGGAGCTGCCCCCCCCCACGCCTGCCCCCCCCCGCCCACTTCTCTGCCCCCCCCCCACCCCCCGAGGCTCACTCGCGCGCTCGGTTGTTTGCGGTCAAAAAAAATCTCGACTGCATTTTCTGGAAATCCCAGATTTGTTTGACCGACGTGATTCCGTCAGCAACTGAATGATTTACGTACACACCGTGATGGACGGCGTTTGGGAATACGATGCCAGTTTTATATAAACGAATGCGTGTGTGTTTATACGTGGATATAGTTTACCAAAATTAGGAAGGAAGATAATGCATGCTTTCCAACGAAACACATTTGCGCACTCCCCAACGGTAAGCTCGAGTGGATCAAAATGCGTTTTGAATGTTCGCAAATCGTCCTTGGCGCTCTCGTTTGTGTCTCCCAAGCGTCGGGCTGCAGCGCTTCGTTCAAACGTGGCCGCTTTTCTCCAGGGCGAGTCCCTAACAGCGACGCAGCGCCGCTATAAAGTTTTGCTCGTATTGGATCGTGTGATTTACAAGAGTTTGAGTGACACCCCTCCCCCCCCATCCGGTTACGGACGGACAGAGCTAACGCATGAAACCCTTTGGGTCAGTGCGTGTCCGGTTTTCTTTCTAGGGCGAGGAGTCCCCCGAATAGCAACGCAACCTTTTACTGCGGCTTCGCTGATATTGGACGCGATCTTTACCGTGCGTTACAGTGCCGCCCCCCCCCCCCCCCCCCCGTCGTCCCGTTCCCCTCCCCCCTCCTTCCCTCCACCACCATCCACCACCCCCCATTCAACCTTACAGGCGGACTGACAGAGATAACAAATAAACGCCTGAAGTTGGAAAGTGTAACAAAAAAAAATAACACTTAAATGCGCTGAAGGTCCATACAAGCTGAGAGCTCACGCTGTGAGTATGTCCGTAAATTATAAGGGCACCGCTGTGCAAAAATAATCCGTGCCCCGCAACGTTGGTCGGGATAATTCGGTCCTAGCCTTCTGTCACTCTGCTGCTGCTTTCGTTTTTCCGACCACGGTCTCTTGAGCAAGGCGGGCTGTTGTACACTCATTGTGTGACTTGGCGGGATGATGCCCTGCAGCCCGACCTGGGCCCCAAACCATCTTCGGGACACAAGCACGCGGGGGGCCCCCCCCCCCCGAAGGCTGGTGGCGTTAAAGGGCACGCGACATAGACGCTCGACCCTGGGGGCGCTCGTCGCACCGGCCAGACACGCGCACGGACTCCTCGTGTCAACGTGCGGGAAGCTATAAAAAAAAAACAGAATTGAAGCTCACGATAGTTTGAACACTCATCCGTCGAAGCGACGGGGAGCCTCCAAGATCCTGGGTAATTTAATATAATGGCTACACTTTCCCCACAGTGCCTTGCACAAACTCGCAGTCATTTACAACATTTCTCAATTTGCATGTGAATGCAACAATCTTCTGTGTCACGTCTCCTGTCCAACCTATATGTTTCCCCCCCCCCCCCCAATATTCTGCACAGTTCACCGCTTCTGTTTTGTTCTAACAGGGTAAGTAAGTAAAGAGTGTATTGAACAGTGGGAGTGAAGGGAAGGAACCATAGTCCAGGATCCTGGCGTTAGAGTTCTGCAGACGCGACTCTCCATTCGGCGAGCGGGGCTGCGATGGCGTAACCGTTATAGCGCGTCGGGGTCTTTGAGCAGCGCTCGAACGTGTGTTTTGTCCGCCGCAGGTTTTCCCGGGAGGAGTGGTGAGGAGCTGCCCGCCAGCGATCCCCGTCACGATGATGCGACTGAAGCTCAAGCGGCCGGGTCACGACCCCCATCGTGAGAAGCTGAAGCAGGAGCTCTTTGCCTTCAACAAGGTAACGACGGCGTGGCCTGGCCGTGGGCCCCCCCCCCCGCCACCCGCGATTCGGTCGTCGCCGTGAACTCTCGGTCGTGCCCCCATCGTGCCGAATTGGAATTTTTGCGGATTTTCTGTTCCTCCCCACCGCCCTTCCAAAGTTCATCGGTGTATTGTACCGATCTCGCCTTTTGTCGCAATCAACAAAAAAAAATCTGTCGTGCCCTCTGCTGACCACCACTACCACCACGTAGAAATTTTCCCTCGCAGCCCACCTATCACAACCTGGCATGCACGGTGGCCATCTGCCGGAGCAATCCGGTAACCTTATCAATCCGGTAACCTTATCAACCGTCCGTGTTGCGGATTGCCTGTGTTGCGGATTAACCGCGCTCGCGAATTAAAAGGAATATCACGATTAGGATTTGTTTCTGGTAGGAAGCGCCCATCTCATCTCGTCCCGAACATTTCAAAGGACAGCCGCTGCCCGTTCGTCGGCTGTCCCTGTGCGCCACAAGGTGACACAGCACCGGCCTAGTAGTGGATGGGGGGGGGTGGGGGCGCTGGTTGGGGGTGGTTGACGTGGCTGTGTATATTAATCCTAATTGAGTAACGTGCCTCTCTGGGGTGTGACACCTTGGAGTAAGGACGGTGCCACCTCTATGTGTGTGTGTGTCGGGGGGGAGGGAAATGGGGCCGGCAACGGTTTTACGTTGACGGTTCAGTGGCTGCCGCCGCGGAAGTGAGCGCGGCCGTCCGTGAAGGTGTCTGTGATTGAGGGAGCTGCCCCTCCGTGTGACGGCATAGCGCGCTGGCGCTACGAGCCCGGCGATCTTCTGCTCACGGCCAACATCGGTGACGAATATCTGAACCGTTTCTGGGGCCTCTCCTAGGTCGACTCAACCTCAAAAATGAGTACCTGGTGCGGTGTGTAAACATCGCCACGAGCGAGAAAAAGGTGGCCGGGCGTGATGCTGGCCACCCACCTCCTTGTGTGCCATGCCAAACTCGATGGGTGCTCCCTAACAGCACTTGCCCCAACAGTTAAGGCTATACGGGGGATCTTTGTTTTTTGCCCTCCATATATTGCAAGCCTCCGGATCAACTGTTGCGAAGCGCCGTTGCACCGCCGGGTGGTGATGCATCCTCGCCGGTAGCGCGTCCGCCGCTCGCTGTAGAGGCTAGCGGTTCGGGTCCAGCGGCCGCCCTGGTTATTACCGCGCGTGTGTGCAATCGCCATCAAAAGGCCGCGTACCGTCTGCTTCGCAGTAAAAGTTTAAAGAGTCCCGTGACGTCGTCTACTTGTGGTTGAAGGACGTCGTGCGTGCCGTTCGCTTTTTGGCGTTCTCTGGTCTTACTCCGGTGAAAAACTAGGCCATAATGAAGGCTGTCTCTGATGCAGGCCAATGAGTTTCAAAGACAATGCATATATTATCAGAGCATGTTTGTTTGTATGCATGTTCACCACAAGTACGTGTGGTCAATGCAGACTTGATTACTTTCAAAAGGTTTCTATTTGGTGTTGGAAAATCTTAACACCTCCCGTTTTACTGCCAGAAAGAGTGAAAACATATTCTTATTTAGATTTTAAGTTTTTGTGACTGCAGGGATCCATACTCTTTGGTTCTTTCGGTAAAGTCGCGTGGGTATAAAATAAAATAAATTAAATCACGACGTTTCGATTGCAACACAAGAAATACTCATCAGGTGGGAAAACCACAGCAAGAAAAATGTTTTTTGCTGCAGTGCGAGAGATGCCGTAGTAAGAGGTTGTTATAGTTAAGAGGGGGGAGGGGCAAGGGGAGCGTTGTGTGGACGCTCTTAGAGTCCACTACCCCCCCCCCCTCTTTCCCCCCTTGCCCCTCCCCCCTCTCTTACCTTTAACAACCTCTTACTACGGCATCTCTCTCCCACTTCAGCAAAAAACATTTTTCTTGCTGTGGTTTTCCCACCTGATGATGATTGCTTGTGTTGCAATCGAAACGTCGTGATTTATTTTATTTTATACCCACGTGACTTTACCGAAAGAACCAAAGAGTATATTCTTCGTCGTGAGAATTTTATTGTGTTATTTTATTATTTTATTCTCATTCTACGTGACTTTACCGAAAGAACCAAAGAAGTATATTCTTATTTGTCCTCAAAATACTGGGCTTAATCGTGGATCAATTATTTGTCGATGATGCTGCGTTTGCAGTGGCACGTAATTAAATTAAATCGATGCGCTCGTCAGTAACACCGGTTTAAGAAAAAAAATAATTACACAGTGGGCAACGTTTTGGGGCAATGTGTCCCATCTTCACAGCACGCAGAGAGGCCGAAGAGGTGCGGTGTTCATTGTGCCCGTGCACCACTGCCAACGCGGTCTGAAGAAAACAAAAAAAAACCACCCCCCCCCCCCCCGCCCACATCTCCGTGTCATTTGCGGCACACGGCGCATCCACCGACCTCGATCCCCGCGACGCACTGCCCTAACGTGCGGCGCATCGCCGGAGGGATCGTGAGAGAGGTGTGGCACGGCAGCTCGAGGAGGCCCGTCATCCAGCAGTGGATCGACCGCGGCCAATCCTGTCGAGGGCTGGTGCGGGAAGGGGAGGGGTTAGGTGGCGTACGCGCCGCCGCGGGGACGTACCCGCGGTTTGCGACGTGGCGTGGGGCAGCACGGGGCAGTAGGCGGCCGAGCCGTTTTGATTGGAGGTGGTGAAGGTTCTTGTCGCGTGCCTGTGTGTGTGGGTTTCCCCTCCGGGGCGCTACGATTCCCTCTTCGACGCGCGCGCGCGGAAAAAGGTCTGCGAGCAGAGTTGAGCTCAATTGGCTAAGCGAAAAATTATTTGGGGTCGGCGAAATAATCTTGAGAGTTGCGGCACACGGGGGGGTGGGAGGACATTGGAAACGCTGCGGGCTCAGGGCCATTTTTTTTTTTGCCAGAGCACATGAATGAAGAAGGGACATTGCCTGAAACGTCGTCCATTTTATATATATTTTTTTTCTCTTAAGGCCATACGCTGTTATCATTGACGAAAGAGTCACGTGGGTTTTTTTTGTTGTTTATGAGAGTTGTCTGATCATAAGACGTTCAGACTGTGAACAAATAGCCCGTGTAAGTCACGTAGCGTACCGGCCAAATCTGTCTTGAAATTACCTTTTATTTTTAGACTCTGACTGTCCCCCGTGGCTGTGACGGATGTATACCTCGGCACCTCCGATTAGCACGGTTGGCTACGTACGGCGCGAAAGAAGTTCAACACACATGCATACGTACGTACGGTGCGAAAGACGTTAAATATACGTATCAATTCACTCTCCCGGCGATTAACAAAATTATCGCGATTTAAATATCAATTTACACCTGCTGCCAACCCCCCCGTTGTGTTATTAGCACTTCGTTGGTATTGTTACGCGTGGTGCGCGTCTCGTTCGTACAGACCTTGTCCCCCGTCCCATTAGCCTGAGCTTTAACATTCGCGTGTCATTTGTCTCACAAGCGTGCGCGAATCGATAAGAGCCTTCGTTTTATTTAATTGTACGGTTTCTATGAGCGTATTGCACAACGATTAAAGAGTCCGTATCGTTGGAACGACGACCGACCCTTATGCGTCAAGACCCTATTGGCCAGCGCTGCATATGGCACTCGTTACTGGTTCAACGATGTCACTGATGACTGCCCAATATAACGCGCATGTGCTGGCGGAACAAGTGAACTACTCCACTCAGCTACCCCAATACAGCCACACGTACTTTGGTGAAACAAAGCGGACTACTCCACTCAGCTACCCCAACACAACCATGCATACTCTGGTGAAACAAGCGGACTACTCCACTCAGCTACCCCAATACAGCCACGCATACTCCGGTGAAACAAGTGGACTACTCCACTCAGCTACCCCGACACAACCACGCATACTCTGGTGGAACAAGCGGACTACTGCACTCGGCTGCCACCCCCGAAAGAAGATGAAAATCTCACTGGGTCTCAATAATGTTTTTGTACGTGGGGTGGAGGGAGGCCCTGCTCCGTTTTTACAGTAGATGGGGGGGAGGGCTGTGTTGCTACCTGTAATCCCAACTGAGTCATTTGTAGGTTATCTTTCACCATTTGAATTTGTTTTGGGTTAGGGTTGTCAATGACATAGTATTTGTTTCTTTATTTATCTCTGGTTGGAAACCGGAGAACCCAGTAGGAAACCCATCCCGAACAGGGGGAGAATATTACAATCTTGCCGGGGGGCACGAGTGTTACCGCTGTGCAACCCTGGCTGCCACTCCGTATATGTGCGTGCGTGTGCGTGCACGTCAGGCAACCCATAGCACCTGGGTCTGTCCCGTGACCTCCTGCCAGCGGGCGTTCGACACTTGACGTGGCCTTAACGTGCGCATAGCCTGGCACAAGCACCGTGGTGACGTCAACGCCAACTTAGTGGCGAATGGCGGTTGTTGTTTTGTGTGCGTGTAATCTCTCTCGGCTTTCCTCTGACCGCCAACATCCTGAGTGTATCCCGAGGATGCCCGGCGCTTGTTGAAACGTTACAAAAAATGTTCTCGCGCGAACCTCGAGCTTATCGACGGGGGCCCCCCTTTCCCCATCGCCGAAACTCAATCGGCACACTCGTGTCTCCCGTATCGTCCCTGCGTGGCGAACACGTAGAGTGAGGGGCACGCGCAGATAGTGTTACCGCGTGGGTCTGCGGCCCCCCCCCCCCCCCATGTGCTTTTGGGGCGGCGTCCTGCTTGGGAGCTTCATTCAGGGACCGATGAATGTGCGCACGTAACGCTCAAAGATCCGCCCCTCCAACAACCAATCCCGGAGGCCCGGGATTGGTTCAGATAATCACCACTGGTGTTGGCCGTGAGTGAGAATCGAACTCTGATCGTCAGGTTCGCAGAAGCGCAGCGCGCCGACCACTGCCACCGCTCCCCACATAAAACACAAACGTTAAAGTCGCACACATAAACGTGTTCGGGCACAACCCGCAAAACGCCATCGGAGACGCATACGACACAGCATCCCACTTAGCAGTC